GGACAAATAAATCAAACAAATAATATTTCTTTAAGAAATAATGAAGATAAAAAAACATATAACAAAAAACAAAAAATTGATAGTATTAATTTAAATAATATAACTGAATTTAATATTAATGGTATTCAATTTAAAACTAATGGAAAATGTACTATTATATTCAAATAGAATTTTTTATTTTTCTTTTTGATCGTGCAGAAATAACTGTTGATACCCTTATTTCTAACCATTCATTATTATGTTTTTTTATAAAATGATTTTTTATTGTTTTAAGAATAGGATTTTTATATTTTCTTTTACAAATATCTCATTCAATTACTCCATTTTCAATATCTGTAAAAAAATTCCATATCTTATGAGAATTTAATTTTTCATTTTTAATTAAAAAATAAAAATATTATTGTAAACATTTTATCTTATAATTAATTACTGTTGTACAATGTTTATATTTATCATGTGTGAGTTACTTTTGCAAAAATTTGAGTTTATTGATTTTATACGAGTTTTTGTTAATCTATAACCAACAAATCGGAATTATCATATGTGAGTTACTTTGCAAAAATTTGAGTTTATTGATTTTATACGAGTTTTTTGTCAATCCATAATCAACAAATCGGAATTATCATGTGTGAGTTACTTTTGCAAAAATTTGAGTTTATTGATTTTATATGAGTTTTTTGTCAATCCATCCAACAAATCGGAATCATCATGTGTGAGTTACTTTTGCAAAAATTTGAGTTTATTAATTTTATACGAGTTTTTTTGTCAATCCATAACCAATAAATCAGAATCATCATGTGTGAGTTACTTTTGCAAAAATTTGAGTTTATTGATTTTATACGAGTTTTTTTGTCAATCTATAACTAATGAATCAGAATTATCATATATAAGTTACTTTTGCAAAAATTTGAGTTTATTGATTTTATATGAGTTTTTTTGTCAATCTATAACCAACGAATCAGAATTATTATGTGTGAGTTACTTTTGCAAAAATTTGAGTTTATTGATTTTATACGAGTTTTTTTGTCAATCCATAACCAACAAATCAGAATTATCATATGTGAGTTACTTTTGCAAAAATTTGAGTATTTAAAAATTAAATCGTAAATACCAATATCAATCAATTACAAGCCAATTACATTTTATTATTTTGAGTATTTTAAATTTTAAGTATTTTAAAATTAAATCGTAAAATACTCAATACTAAACATTTATCAAAAAAAAAAATAAAAAAATTTCAAAAAAATTTTTCAAAAAAAAAATGAAAAAATTATGAAATGTCACAAAAGCACTATAATAAATTTAACTCAATACTATGATATCAATCAATAATATATTAAACTTTTAAAAATATTAATTATTTTACATTATCATCAATGATTGTAAGTGTATTTTTAATAATTTTCTTTAAAAAGCGATGAAATTTATTTTTCATTATTAAAAAATGTCTCAACAAGAACAACAACAACAAAGTACCCAAGATTATGAACACATTACTTATTCATCTTCATCTTTATGATCACCTTCTTCTATTTTAAAATAAACAATTGAAGATTTAGAAATCGAATTAATAAATATAGATGATACTATGTTTGAATTAAAAAAGTATGTATAATATTTATAACAAATAAAATAATAGTAATAATAATTTTATTAATAATAGAAAAAGAAAGAAAACTGAAGATGAATTAAAAGTTTTAAAAGAAGAAAGAAAAAAACAAAGAAAAGAATTACGAAATAAAAAATATAAACAAAAAATAGAATATAATAATTTATAAATATTTTATATTTTCTAATTAAAAAATATATAAATAAAAGTTATAATCTTTATTTTTCTAAATTTTATATAAATAAATTTTTACTTATTATGACAACACAAATATTAAAACTATTACAAAAAAACAAAAGTCTTCATAATCAATTTAATATTCAAAATTTGATTAAAGAAAATAAACAACAAAATGTTCAGTTAATAAACAACGAAAATAATCAACAAATACAAAAAAAAATTAATTATGAAGCTAATAAATCACTATGGGAAAATAAATTTGAAAATTTCAAAGTTATTACAGATTACGAAAAGTACACAAATTCTAATAAACCAAGATTGAAACTGAATGAATATTGATTAATAAAAATTAATTTTAAATTATGTCTTGAAGTCAAAACACAAAAAGAAGAGATTACATTTTTATGTGATCTTGACAATTTCAATCTCTTACAAAATTATACTTGGTTTTGTTATCTAGGAAAAAATGCTAATATATATTATATTTGGTCAAATAATTATGAAAAAAATATTCATAAAATTTTACAATTTCACTGAATGGTTTGTCCAGAATGGAAAATGATCGATCATATAAACAGAATTGGAACAGATAATCATAAAAGTAATTTACAAGAAACAAATAAAAAAAAATACATTAAATTGTAAATTATAAAAAAACAATATATCAGGTTTAAATGGAATTTTATTTCATAAACATTTAAAAGCTTGGGGATTTTATTGGTATGAAAATAATAAGCATAAGCAAAATGGTTCTGTGTTAATAAAAAAAGAACAAATAAGCAAGCTAAACAATTAGCGATAAAATTTAAATTAGAACATAATAAAAAAACAGGAAACAAGAATGGTTATAAAAATCTTTACAATTAATTAAAGAAAATAATCTTCATGATATAAAAAAAATATCTTTGAAAAATCAATTAAAATTAATTGTAATAAAACTCAAAAATAATAAATTTTGCTATTCTAATTTGATAATAGTTTCAATTGCTTTAGTAATTCATTTTTGAACTTCATAATCTTTTAAATTACAGGTTTATTAAAATTATAAATAGTATATCTTTTTTGTTCAGAAATCAACATGAAAATTTTTTTATCTTTATAATAAACTTCATATTTTTTAGGATAATTAATCATAAAATAATTACTTCTAAAAAAAGGACGTATTGGTTTAGTCTTATTAGTAACTTCATTGATTTCTTTAACTTCAATATATTCAGGAATGTCAAAAAGTTCTACTACTGGATCATCATCGAAAAAAACATTCTTGCTTGAAAATCTTGATCTTTGAATTTTTCAACTTTTATCAAAAAATCAATATTTTGAAAACCTTGTACATTATTGTTTTTCTTATCTTCTATAAAACTTAGAACATCAGCAATTGTACTCATACTAAATAAAAACAAATATTAATATATTTTTAATAAAAATATAAATAATTTTATTAAATTAATTACTTTTCAAGAAAAAGATTCAATTGTTGAAAAGAATATTCTGAATTACTCATTTTTATTTATCTTAAATATTATGTTATCATGACATTATTGTGACTGTTTTTATACTTTTTTATTATTATTAAATTCTAACCAATAAAAGTATTAATTAAAAACTTTAAAAAATCTATAAAAATGATTGGTACCTATTTAATAAACATTAAATTCTTTATCCTTTGTATAACAAAAAATAAAATGGCACGTTTAAAAAAAGAAATTGATAAAGAATTTCAGAAATTACATGAAATTAAAGAAAAAATATAAAATGAAGATATAATGTTATTTATGAGTTTTTATTCTCTCACATTTGGAGATATTGAAAAAATTATCGAAAGAAAAACTACTGAAGAAGAAAAAAATTTTTATGTTTAAAATTATAATGATGGTCCAAAAAAATTCTCAAGATATTATATCATATAATCGAAGAATTATGGAAATGTTTATTACAAGATTTGTTATAAATAGAGAAAAAATTTTATCAAAACTTGATTCTAATCCTAGAACATCTAATAATTAATAATTATAAAATTAATAAATATATTTATTAAATTCTAATTTCTCTAAGATTTAAACTTCTAAAAATCTATAAATATAATTTGTTTTCTATAAAATTTATTATTTCTTTTAAATATGTATAAATAAAATAATAAATAAATTTAATAAAACTATTATAAATTTCTTTATTTGAAAAAATTAATTTTTGATAAGAAAACTTTATTTAAGTAAATGATTAACAACATGTGTTTTTTTAAAAAATACAATACAATCTATTTTTTAAAATGCCTATCTCTTTCTGTTTTTCTCTCAAAAAATTTTTTACCAAATTTTTAACTAAGAAAATTTATAATACAATGATTTATTCTCTTGCAACTCCAAATGACCCTGGCTTTAAATATCTTTACTTTTTTCAAACTGAATACCATGGAAAAATAGCTGGTATTCTTAAAGAAGGTCCAACTGTTTATGAAGTTGTCTTTTTTGCTGTTCAAAACTTGAACAGTTTGGCTACTCATAAAGTAAAACCAACAAGACTAGATGAACCAAAATGCTTTAATATTGAAAGTAAAGAAGATACATGGCTAGATCCAGACCCAGAAGAAGAAATAAAATGGTTTAGTGTTAAATCTTGTCTATTTTTTATAGGCAAAACAGAAAATGGATTTACACAATATAGATTTATATAAAAAATTTTTGTTGTAAATTCTAAATTTGTATATACATTAATAATTAATAAATAAATTTTTAACTTCTAATTCTTTATGAATCATCTCTTTCAATTCAAAAGAATTAATCCTAAATGAATAATTAAATAGAATAATAAAATATTCTAAAGTGTCAAATTCTAAATGAAGATAAAATAAAAAATTAAAACAATAAATAAAGATGTTCAAGAGGTCTTTTGACTAGTTAATCTGATCTATTGACATGTTTTAATATATTACTTTGATAATTTGTTGTGGGTAGAAGATTTGTAAATTCTTCTATATATTGATAACTTGTTAGCTTGTTGGTTGAAGAAGATAATGAACTAATTGAATAAAAATTTCATCATATTTAAAAATTATTAAATAAAATTATTACATATTTGCTAAGAAAAACTTTGATAAAGATTACTAATATAATTAGTAATCAAAAAGAGCAATGATTTGAATTAAGAAATAAATCTTTCTGGAAAATTTTCAAATAAAAAGTTCCAATAATAAAGTAAAATTATTGAAACTGTAACAAAAATTGTAATTGCGATTATTAAAATATATATAGTAATTGCACAAATCCAAAAGAATATTTTGAAATAAATAATTTTAATAAAGTATTGGTAAATATATTCGTGGTATTCATCATAAAAAAGATTTGTTAAAAATAACCCAAAGATTCAAATAAGAATAAGAGTAGTATAAAAAGTTTGGTGAATCATTTTGTTTGAATTTGAAAATATTGTTTAAAGATTTAATTGTATGTTTAAATTTTTGCTTTGAAATGAATAAATCATAAGGAACATTGAAAACATTTTGTTAGAATTTTTATAAAACTCTCAAAAAAATAAAGTTCATGCATACAATATTCGATAAAAATTTTGTACAATAAACAAACAATATCAGATTAATTTCAGTCAAGAAAAATAAAACACTCATTAAAACAATTGGCGTATTTGTTTTCTTGATTGTTAAACAGACTTTTGTTTATTTAACATACAAGAAAACAAAGAACCAATTGTTTTACTTACAATAATAAAATTATAAATAAAGCTTAATTTAGATTTATTCAACCTATATTTATAGATTTACAACCAAAAAAAAAAATAAAGTTTTTCTCAATAAAAAATATTTATTTATCGATTAAACACATTTATTTATTATAAATATAAACTAATAAAATATAAATTTATTTATAGATAAGTTAAAAAAATAACATATATAAATTATTTATGTTGAGAATGTTGTGACATGTAATATTCAAAATTCTGAATGTTTTTGTCTTCTAAATATTTATCATAACTATCATATTCTCTCTTTTGTAAAAACCCTTTATAACCATCATCATTACTCTCATAATAAAAATTATTCGTATTGGCAGTACAATAATTTTCATTATATTCCCTTCCATCATCATTAAATATGTTATGATAAGCTTCATTATAATTATTATAATCAAAATTATCTTCTGAATCATATTCAGATTTAAACTTTTTAATAAAAGAATCTTCACAACTATCTCCATATTCGATACAACTACAAGCAGTACTATCATCATCACTCAATGAAATAATACTTTGTCTATCAAATTTTAAGCTTCTCTCTACTGTTTCTTCTTTTTTAACCTTTTCTTCATTGATCATAATCACTTCATTTTCTTTCATATTATTAACTTTGTCAACATAATTAACAAATTCATGTTCAAAATGTTGATAATCTTCATTATCTTCATTAAAAACATCCCAAGCTGTACCAAAATGATAATAAGCATTGGTAAATAAGTTTATATGATATTGATTTAAATCATCAAGATAATTGTTTCGTTCTTTAAGAAATTGATTTTCAAATTCAAGATCATAAATTCGCTTTTCATAATCTCGAATAATGTTTAATGAAAGTTCAAAAACATTATTTGTTTTATTTCCATTAGCAATAAATCGTTATTCAAAAACTTCATTAGACATTTTTAGTTTGTTTTTAAATTTAAAAATAATATAATCGTTTTGTTAATGATAATATGCATAAAGAAAATTATGACTCTTTTTAAAGTTATTTTTTGTATAAGGATAAATATATATGATTCGATTGGTTTTATAATAAGAATTAAAATTACTATATTAAGATAATCAAAAATGATCACGATGTTTTATTATTAATTTTTTTTCATTTATTATTAATATGTATTACATAAATAAATAAATAAATATATGATTTTTATTATTAATTAAATTTTTATTGGATCTTATTAAAAAAACAAGAATCTATATTATGATTATATTTATGACATAAATAGCAATATTTAATTTTTGTACATGGACCCTCATGAATATTATTACACCAAGAACAATGATTAAATTTACATGACCAAAAATAATGGTTTGTAAAGCAACAAGCCTTACAATACACAGGTATTGTATTTTTTATTTCAGGATAATATGTTGCATTTTTTTGAGAAGTTCCCCATTCGCTAAAAAATAAATAAATATAAATAAACAATATAAAAAAATTAATATATAAGTACTATTCTTACTTGTTCATTTTTTTAAAAAATTAAAAAAAAATAAGACGTACAACACAAATATTTATATTTTAATAACAAGAATTATATAAGCAAATCTAAAATATACTATACTAAAAACATCATAAAATTTTTTATCTACATTCTTTTTTTCTTCTTCACTATGCAAACATATGCCTTAAGATATTGTGAATATTTTGATAATAATAAGCTTATGTTATTCACAATTAATGAAAAAAAAGTAATCATCGGTTATAATGATGTAATCAATGAAACTATCATTGAGACTTTATTGAACGAACAAATATTTACAATGATAACATTGAAAAAATTTTGATTTATAATGATGCATACATTGAACAATATGAAGATATTCCTTTAGATTTAGATTCTTATGAAATAGGAATTACTAATAGTAATCATTTTATCTCTTATCTTTTCAATTGTTTTTAAATTTTTGTAAAACTATAAATAAAGTTTGTAACAAATTTTATTTTTTATAAATATAAATAAAATATATTTAAGTTTAAACCAATAAATATGCAAGATACTATTTTCTTTGTTCTTTTTTTGTTTATATTCTTTTTTTCATCATCTGATTCTGCATGTACAAAACAATCTATTTATCGTAAAAATCCAACTACTAAAAAAAGTACAAAAAATAAACAAAAAACAGGAAAATCTAGACGAAGATCAAAAACACCTGAAAATGAAGATCCAGAACCATATGTACCACCAGGAATGATTTTAGATACGCTTGTTACATATGATTATAATAAAAAAAAATATGTATCAATCTTAAATAAAAATGGTAAAATTACAAATCGGTATAAAAATAGAATTTATATACAATGTTTATATGGAAGACATTTTAGACCAAGATATGAACCAGTACATAAAGTTGGAGAACAATTTTTAAATTAATTATATAATAAATAAATAGTAGAATATCAGAATATTTAAAATTTTTTTTTTTAATATTAATGGTGAGGCCATGTCTCTATCTTTATTGAATATTTAATTAAGATTTTACATAAAGTACA